CACATTGGTGATCAGGTTCAGAGAACATATGCCCTGTGTAAGTCCATCATTGTCCCAGTCAGCCAAGGGTGAAGATTATATATATAATTATGCCTGTTAATGTAGGAATAAATTGTGATAATGGTCTCTGGCATGCACTGTGCTTTCTGAGTTGTGGTTGTTGCTACATGCGGTCAAGTCACCTCTAACTTATGGTGACCCTATGAATGAGTGATCTTGAAAATGTCCTGTCCTCAATAGTTCTGCTCTGCTCTTGTAAGTTCAAGTCTGTGGCTTCCTACTTTACAGTAGTGAATCAAAGAGGAAAATGACATGGAGAATGTTAGCAGACCAAGTAGCAGCCAGCAGCAACAGTAGCAAAGTTAACTTAAGAATTCAGCTATTGGATATTGGAATGGTTAGCGGAGCACACTTCCCCTTTTTGTAGGAAAATATAGTCATAGTCACACTTCTTATTCTGAGAAAATAAGAAGGCTAGTGTTAGAGAAATCAACTGAAGCAGGAAAGGCAATGGGAATCCTAGTTCTAGCTAACTGAGGGTGGGACTACGTAGTAAGAAAAATGCAAATTCAATTGCTGTAAAGTCACACCGGGGAACTTGAGTTCCTCCCAATGAATTCAAGTTAACTGGCCACACAGAGAAAGAAGAGGAAATTGACTAGACAACCTTGTTTGAAGCTTGTTAATGTAGCTCTCCCGTAGTTCTTATTTGCAGGAGGCAAAGCTGTAGGAAAACTGAAGAACTATGTTAATAAGCTGTAAACAATGGCTGAGCGGCAATTTCCTCCTTTCATTCTTATTTCTATCTCTCTCTTTGGTGTTAATGTTGCTCTCCTGTACAACTGACTTAATAACATATAAGAAAGGATCACATGGCAATATCCTACTCTCATCTCTCTCTCTTCCTCTGGTGTCTAGGTGCCCTCACACAATAGCATTGGCATCCAGCTGTTTTTTTTTTTAACTAATGGTATTAAACTCTGATTTCAAACCTCCACTGCCTTGTGGCTATATCCACTCATGGAAAAGGCTTCAGGCATTAACCTAGAGGCAAAATCCGGAGCTGGAGTCCCGAAGGCAGTTCGTGTCGTTCTGCCAACTCCTGCGACGTTGCTGGAACCAGGTGTATTGGCTCTTGCCTTTCCATTGGACCATTTCAGCAACGTGGAGAGGGGGGGATCTGGTGCTTGGGTAACAGCCTATCCTCCATATTACCTTACCCAGGCTTCATGCTCTGGAGAAGACACTCGTTGATCCAGAGCATGTTACCATAGTCTCTCAAGACTGAAGGATGCCTATGGTATTATTCTAATAGAGGAGACAGCAGGAGAGGAAAGTCTGAGTAGGAGCACACTTTTCTGTACTAGTTGATGAGATCACACTGCCTGAACCAATGCAAATGGATCTCTTTTTTTAAAGTAGAAGCCACAGTGGTGGAGGAACAAACCACAGATTTGGGGGAGGAAACTCTTGGCTGATTCTCATTTGCTTTTATGTCATGTGGTCAATGGAAGAATGCAATTCAAACTGTCCCAATCCCATAGCATTTCTCATGGTGCATGTCAGTGTAGTCACAGCCTAAGGGGAAGATGCAGGGGACACATGGCTGCCACCTCACCTCTCAAGAACAAAGACAAGATGTCTTCTCCATCTGTTCCCAGAGATGAACAAGACGTGAGAAGTGAGAAGGAAAGGAAGTGACATCAGCAAACCTAAAAGTATCAGTCTAGGTTGAAGGAAGTTCAGCCTAGGTCAGAGCAGGAAACCTGAGGAGAAAAACCTTATTTTCCTCCCTGCCTCCACCATGCAATGACATGCATCTTCTTCAGTATAAGCTGAATTGCACCAGTCACCTCCGCCCAGTAGGTGATGACATTCACAGGAAGCAAGCCTTGGACTTAATCCAATTTTGCTGGCAGAAAGAAAGGAATAACTGATAACACTGGGTTCGCTAGGCCTCAGTTAGAGCTGGTTAATGTTAAAAATGTAGAGATGTTTCAGTGGAACTTAAAATGAGAAAACAGGTGCTTTTCCAAATTACTCACTTCACCTCAGCTATATATTTCATCCTTGTGACATCTTCTGGCGTGAATTTGACACTAGAAAAGTAGCAGTTACTTTAAACACCATATGCCAGCCTGGAATTCTTCAATTTTATCTTCTTTCTTTCTTTCTTTCTTTCTTTCTTTCTTTCTTTCTTTCTTTCTTTCTTTCTTTCTTTCTTTCTTTCTTTCTTTCTTTCTTTCATGCTTGCTTGCTTGCTTGCTTGCTTGCTTGCTTGCTTGCTTTCTTGCTTTCTTGCTTTCTTGCTTGCTTTCAAAAATATTGCTCAGAATATTAACATGAAGGAAAATAACAGCTGGTATAGCTCATAACAGAATACCACTTTGCTAGTGTCAGCAGCATATGATGAGAGCGAAGAACTGAAACTAGAACACTGATTATACAGTAATTTGCTGTCTTATTCCCCTCTCTCCCTGTGGCTAATGATGCCACTGATAGGTGTGTTCTTTATGTTTCTTTGTGTCCATATTTCTTGTGTGAAGAGCTGGCAAGCCTTATGGTATACTTACTTAGGAGTGAGTCCAAAATTGCATAACAAAGAGTCCTTCATTTCTAAGAACCACCATACATCTCACCAGTTGGCACTCCAAGGCCATTACTTTGGTCATATTTTTTTGCTGAGAATATAAATACCTCAGCATGCAGCAAACAGTCTTGGTTGCATGTCCTGTTACAGAGCTGTTGGACTGATTTTTCAAAAGCAGAATATTCAATCAAAAATTCATTCAAAGTTCAGACCTTAAAATGATGTGATAATGACGACGACAACAACTGGTTCAGATTATTACATAAGGAATGAAGCATTCACAACTATTTGGAGGTGCGCTGATCATTTGATGCATGGGTCAAACAATGATGCAGCCAGGTAGATGCACAACCATAATGTGCTGTCCAGATAACTATGGTTGCTTCTGCATATACTGTCCTGCATAGAATAACCTTAACAGGATAGTGGTCGATGGGGCTAAAATTGCATGGGCCAGATGCTCCTGTATCAAGTATATTAGCTATCTGTTGTTGTGCTGGCTAAATAATTCAGCAGTTTAAGTATCTGGCTTCAGAGCCAGAGTTGGCAGTTCGATTCCCCACTGTGCCTTCTGCAGGTAGAGCCAGCCTGTGGGATCTTGGGTAAGTGACACAGTCTCAGGGCGGCCCCAGAAGAAGGGTATGGTCAACCACTTCTGAGTATTCTCTACTAAGAAAACCCTGAAAAGGGTCGCCATCACACAGAATTAACTTGATGGCACATTATTACTACTATTATTATGGTGTGAGCGTATAGTTAAACATGCATACATTGCTGTAAATAGCGTGACCATGCAAGAGGCATTGCTTATTGTGCTGTACTTTAATATTCTCATGTGGAGCTGAAATGTGTACAGGATAAGCACAGTGAACCTAAGAAAATAAAAAGACCCTGCTGGCTCAGACCACACAGGGTCTGTCTTATGCAGCATTCTGCTCTGATGGTGGCCAAATAGATCTCCCGTAGATGGTCCACTAAAGAGGACCTACAGAAGTAGGCAATAGCTGTTCCAGTTGAATGCATGCAAAGAGACAAAAGGTCATAGTTTGAACCAAATCTTGAATTAGTATAATTCAGACCACACAGGGTCTGTCATATGCAGCATTCTGCTCTGATGGTGGCCAAATAGATCTCCCGTAGATGGTCCACTAAAGAGGACCTACAGAAGTAGGCAACAATAGTCTTCTTAGCTTAGCTGTTCCAGCTGAATGCATGCAAAGAGACAAAAGGTCATAGTTTGAACCAAATCTTGAATTAGTATAATCAGACCTGCTGGTGATAAATTCTAGTCCAGCTATTTCATGCTTGACTTTTCTTTTGAAGTTCTTTTATTAAAGAACAGTGTATTTCATGTAAGTAGCACACAAGGGAAATTGAACTGGTTTCTCAGCACCACTAATAAATTAATGGCATGATAAATTAATTTTTAAAAAGGAAGATTATGAAGATCTATTGTGAGATTTATTGTGGCACATTCCTTACCAGTGAAGCTTCACCTTCTCACAATCACAAATTTTAGGCTGCGGAGAGTTACTAAAGTGGATTAGTAGGAAATGGGCATGAAAAATCCAGAATAACTGCGTATGCCTGTAGTCAGAGGACCTGGGATGGGAGCTTTAAATCATTGATTTGTCCCCATGCAGAAATTTTGCAAGGATGGCAACAGGTGTATCTGCACTACACAGTTATAGCAATTTGACACCTACAACAACCATGCCTCCATCCGATGGAGTGCTGGGTTTTGTAGGGTGGTGAGGAACTTCAGTATCTCTGTTAGAGCTCAGTTTATATAATATAATTCAGGGGGGTGCACTACAGGCCTCTAGCACACAATTCTAACTACCTCACTGTCGCGTCCACCCAGTGTCCTTTGTTTATTTTCTCTCTAAACACAAGTCCACCCTCTGGATGCGTTTCCTCATTTCACGCTGCCACCAGGTATTAGTCCCTCAATACCAAATAGATAGATCTTAGACACATGCTGCCAAGAGAACAGATTTATTGGTAATATTGATGTTATGCCAATCACAGGAGAAAATCACAGATGTTTAGGAGTATTCATTAAATATCATTTGCTTTCACTTTGGTTTGTATGTTTACATATTCACTGTTACAATATTCTTTGACTATATATCCATTCTCTATACTTTGGAACTCTTTCCTATTCTTTCTAGCATTCCAACTTTCCAATCTCTGTCCTAACTTTCTCAATTCAGTCTCCTAACTCTCTCTCTTCAGTTCCCCATCTCAAACCTCTTTTCTCCAACTCTCCTCCCTAACTGTCTATCTAACTGTCTAACTGTCCTTTAGGTTCCGCCCCTCCTATCCTCTCATAGGCTCCTGCTCTTGAGCTCTCCATGATAGACAGGCATGACTTGGAGGTTCCGCCACTCACCAAATGATATTCTTCTCGAACTCCACAGGTGGAGTCATATAGTGTCAAATTGGCACAAGTGAGTGATGTGGACCCTTTCCCTACCTCAATATGGCATCACAAGGCTGCGGCTGTTTGTGGCCTGAAGGCAAGGAAAAAGCTGATGCTGGGATGGTGAGTCAGAGCAATGTGAGGGTAGCTACCTTTAAAGGGAAGAAAGGACCAGTGCCCTCCCCCCCACTCCCTCACAAAAATACAGATGACTGGAATCAGAAACAGTGAGAGGGCAGTAGAGTTGAGAACTGAAGCAGGACGTCAACGAAGGGTGAGGACCTTTCTAAAGTGAAGGTGAAGGTTCTTAGTGGCACTAAAGGCTATTTTTTAAGGTTGGCTGGGAAACAGAGGGCTGCACTCCCAATGGAGGCAGAGCTAAAGTTGAGGGCGAATAGCTGGTTTATGTTATCTGAAAACTAAACTAGGGTTCAAGTTTTTAAAAAACAGTTTTTAAAATTGTTTTTAGTTTGTTCCTTCATAACCATTCTGCTCATGCCCTCTAATGGCAAAAAATTGAAAGCTTTTTAAACCAGGTGCTGGTGTTTATTATGTGCCAACAAATCAGAACCAACGTATAGCAACCTCAACAGGAATTTTAAGGCAAATGAGATAAATATCAGCATTACCAGTGTCACTCCCCCAGTGACAAGTGGAGAGTCAGACCCAGGTCTCCTGCACCTTAGTTCATCATTCAGTCTACTAAACAACACTGGGGTGCTAGAGGGCTCTCAAAATGTGGCAGAAATACCCCCCATTTGCCCTAAAAAGTGCAAGGGGTCATTCTGAGCATATTCCAGGCCATGTGCCCCAAACAGGAAGATGTCGTCATGAAACTAGCAAGGAGAGGGTTAATTCATTCCCTGATGTCTGTGAAAACCTGAACTTGGTAACTGCAATGAACTGGATGGAAGGAGAGAGGCATCTCCTAATTAGAGAGACTTGCTGTGTTTATGTTCAGTCTATACCCCACCCCTGTCTATAACTTTGAAGGCTGAAAGAATGTTATGGGAATCAGTTTGTCTTGGACTCTCAAGGAGCTGAAATTAGAAACACTTGTGGTATCTGATTAAGTGTCTTTGCAGAAGTTGCCAATTAACTAGTTTGAGAAAGAGCACAATGTGATTGGCTTAAAGGTTTTGAACCATCCAGATAGGGTATGATGGGATATAAGTAGAGGAAGAAGAATGTTTCTCTCAATAGTAGAAAGGGGTAGCCTTCATCAAACTCATTTTGACAGGTGCGAGAGCCCTGCGAGGCAATACGTCTGGGTCAAAAATCGACACCCCCCCCCCCCGGAAGGGGGCGCGAGAGCCCTGCGAGGCAAGACGTCCAGGTCAAAAATCGACACACCCACACACACACACCCGGGAAGGGGAGGCAAGCACCTTATGCTCAGCTAGCTTGCTTGATCATTCAACATGTGACCTAAACCTGTTATTTTGCTGAATTCTCTGCATGTAGTGGAACCATGCTATGTTGTCATCACAGATTTAGATAGTTAACTTTCATTGTTTTTCTGTAGGTCTAACTCGTAACTGCCTAAGACTCTGGATGAGTTTTGTTTTGTTTTTTACCGTGGAACTGCTCACATTATTATTATTATTCTTTTAGAAGCTTTAAACATGGAACTGCTCACATTATTATTATTCTTTTAGAAGCTTTAAACCTACTTTTAAATGTACAGTATATGTCTTTTTGAAATACTTCCAATAAAAATGATAACATTTTGCAACTGTATTAACAGTCAGATAGACCAAAGGGTTGGTGGTACTAAGGAAAGTGCCTTGCACTTGTATGTTTTGAGTACTCTCTGGATTTTTAGTATTTTCTACTCTGTAAGGTTGGTTTGCAGCCACAAGCAACAACATGGAAGGTTTTGTTTCTCCCTGGGGAACTAAAGGAGTGAGTAAGCTCAATGTTAGAAGAAGGCTCTCTCACACACTAGAACACCTGGCAAGCACTGACACCAGGTTAAATAAGGGCAGTGTGGCTCAATGGTCAGTGGATCTTCTCTGAGTTAGCCAGGAATTTTCACCGATGCTTCCTGGAAGAAAGAGGACACATCTACTCAGGGATGGGTAGCTGCCATAAGTGGTCTTTCAGAAAAGTAGAGCAGGATTTGTTTTTATGGCAAGCAGACCAAGATGAAATCCCTTCAGATCTGGCTCAAACCAAGGTGACTGATGATGGCAACTGGCACCAGTTAGATGCTTCAGGGAGAATAGGAGAGAGAGCTTTCTGAAAATAAGTTAGCAGCATAGTTCCAAAGCTGGCTAGAGTTGGAACCTCTCAGCTTATGAGAAGCATGCCATGGGGAGCAAGGGCATAAGTTTATTTATTTATTTATTTATTTATTTATTTATTTATTTATTTATTTATTTATTTATTTATTTATTTATTTATTTGATTTATACCCCACCCATCTGACCTATAAGACCACTCTAGGCGGCTTCCAATATACTGTAAACATTAAATTAATAATAAAGAATTACATAAATCATACTATGACCAATACAATACAAAGATAGAATAATAAATAAATAAAGGGAGAATAAACAAAAAAATCAGGTATTAGCTGGAGGGAAAGTCTGAATGTACAGCCATGTTTTTAATTGAGTTTTACAAGTGCCCAGAGTGGGGGGCGCGCGAATCTCAGGAGGGAGGTTGTTCCAGAGGCGAGGAGCCACTGCCGAGAAGGCCTGGTTTTGTGTCTTTTCCTTCCTGGCCTCTCTCAGCATCAGGCTCCTCAGCTTCACCTCCTGGCTCGCACAGGTAAACCGGGTAGATCTTGGTGGGAGTAGGAGTTCCGCCAAATATCAAGGTCCTAAACCGTTTAGGGCCTTAAAGGTAAGCATTAGAACTTTAAAGTCAATGTGGAAACGAATGGGCAGCCAGTGCAGCATGGCCAGTGTAGGAGAAATATGTTGGTATTTTCTCACTCCATTGAGGAGTCTGGCCACCACATTCTGCACCACTTGAAGTTTCCGGATCAGCTTTAAAGGCAGCCCCACGTAGAGTGTGTTACAGTGGTCTAATCTTGAGATTACGAGTGCGTGCACCAAGGTAGTAAGCGCCCCTGTGTCGAGATAGGGGTCGCAGCCGGGCAATCCGCCATAGGTGGAAAAAGGCGGTGCGGACTACCGACGCCACCTGTGTTTCCATGGTGAGTGTCGGGTCCAGATGTACCCCCAGGCTGCAGACCCCACTCTTTGTGGCCAGGGTCACCCCCCCCAAACGTGAGAGAGTCTCCCAAGCCGCCAGCCACGGGGCCACCCACTCTCAGAACCTCCGTCTTGTCCGGATTCAGCCTCAGCCCATTTTCCTGCATCCACTGCAGTACGGCCTCCAGGCAGCACCGGAGGGACAGGACGTCATCACCTGCAGTTGGTGAAAAGGAGATGTAGAGCTCGGTCATCCGCATACTGATGACACGAGGCTCCACACTCCCTGATAACCCTACCCAGCGGCCTCATATAGATGTTAAACAGCATTGGGGAGATAATCGACCCCTGCAGAACCCCGCAATTGAGACTCCACGGGGCCGAAGCACTCTCCCCAAGCTGCACTCGTCTTTAAACAAGGATTAAAAGTGGTAGGTTTAACTTGCACTATAATTAAGAAAGATTGCACTTATTGTATTCTCGAAGGCTTTCACAGCCGGGATCTGATGGTGGTTGTGGGTTTTTCAGGCTCTTTGGCCAAACAACCTTCAGAACACAGCCAAGGAGCCTGAAAAACCCACAACAACCATTGCACTTATTATCTGTAGAAGGCAGCTGCCTAACCAGTTCTGTTACTGACAATAGACAAATGAAATACTAATGGATAACATGCCTGTAGGTAGTTTTGCACAGAACCTGTGAAGCAAGGTAGCTTTTTGGGTACAAATTGTCTGCTGTCTTATTGCTATTATCACCTGTATGTGAAGGGTAACAGTGACAGCATTTAGTATTTAAAAAAAACAAAACATCCCAGACTGGAATGAAATTAGGGCCAGCTTTGCGCCTTTCAAGCTGCTTCCTTTCCTTCATTTGTTCAGTCTTAAAGTTTGAAAATGCTGATGTCTCTGGCAGCAGCACTCTTAACTGAAAGATAAAGTGTCAGCCTGAGCATGGAAAGGATGCAATTGGACACTGATGGGTTTAGTCCAAAATCCTTTAGAAGGGCTTGCTCTGTGTTGCAAACCGTCTCATAGCAGCCTGTGGAATTCAGCTCCACGGAGACCAGAACATAAAAAGATCTGCTTTTGCCTTTATGAAAATAAACAAAACCAATAGTATAATAGGCAAATCTCCTTGGTCATTCTAATCTCTTTCCATAAATTGTTATTATTAAAGCTGCGTACGAGTGAGTGATTAATTTGTTTAGGTCCCTTAACGCCAGTCCGCCCCCAGTCAGAATTGCTCTTTGAGCAGTTAAAAACAAATCCCTTTATCCTTTGTATAACTTTACTTTGATTAAAGTAAATATTAAAGCTTTCTTAAGAGGCCAATTTCAGAATTGTTGCTTGGCTGCTCAGTTCCACCCAGTCATGGTGCACCTGTATTCTTGCAGGCCGAAGCTGCCCCAGTGTTGGTAAAAACACATACAGGCAAGCTCTTAGATCAGACCCGTCTAGACCTTGTTCTCCCCCTTCCTCTTGCCTGTGGCCAACAAGATGCTACCAGGTAGCCTGTAAGCAAGAGGATGAAGGCAGCAACACTCCTATGCTGTTGCCCTCATATAACTACAGCTGATTTTCAGTCCTAAATCTATTGCCAATCATTTTCACTGGGTGACCCGACTTCCATTGTTAGGAAAGGAGAAGAAAATCTCCTGCCTAGCCCTTTTTCACAGGGCCATGAATAATTGTATTCATATATACAGTATACTGGGAGCCATGTTTTTTTGGCTCCTTTCTTTTGGGACAAGCTTTCAACAGAGTTTTGTCAAGTGCCTTCCTTTGCAGTTTTTAAGAAAGTAGTAAAGTTTATTTAAATCAATTTTTATTAGTGTTTTAATGCCTGAGAGTAGTTATTAAGAAAGTAGTAAAAACAGTTTATTTAAATCAATTTTTATTAGTGTTTTAATGCCTGAGAGTCTGAAATCTGTTGTAATTTGTTTTATTTAAAGTGAGTGTT